TGTACAGAGGGGATATCATTGATACTTGATGTAAAGACTCCTTCCCTCTTTGTTGGTATTTAGAGTTACTACCTCCGTGAGTATAGGTCAGGTTCATCAAACTGTAGCAATTTACCCTTGTTTCCTTCATCATGGAGGCTAGGTCAAATGGGTACTGTCTGCAAGTTTGGGTGTTCTTGTGCATCTCCCCTCACTTCATATCAGCTGCATGCTTCACTCTCAGCTCTAGCCCTCTGTGGCTATGTCCTTGTCCATGGGCTCAAGTATCCCCAGGCCTCACCACACTTTGTACCAACCAGCCCTTCCTCTCTCTCTCTCTCATCTCCAGGTCAACAGGAGTCAATGGACTGTGGTTGAACTCAGACCATTTCTTCATTGCTGCCTTTCCCTCTCTTCAACTCACCAGTAGATCAATGTGGTCGCCAGCAAGCTTACATGCCTACTCATGTGTTCCCTTTGAGTTTCAGTCTTGGGGGGCAGGGGTTGTCCTAAAGGAGCTTGATTGCTTGCCTTGATGACTTCCTGGAGAACAGCTTGCTTATTCTTGTGGTAGCCTGTCATACTGACATTTTTGTTTTGGGTTTTCCCTGATGATCTTTCTTTGAAGATGCATCTTCTGACACTCTAGTTCTTCCAGGCTGGTCTGCTTGTCCTTTCTAGTGGGATGTCCCACCTCAGAAGGTTCTGGATGGGACTCAGGATTCCACCTAAGGTCCTTTACTCTACAAAGGCTCCACAAGAGGCCTGTTTCACTGGGCAAGTTCTAGAACCTCTTTTAGGTATTCCAGTCAATTATAGGCTTTGTATGTTACACTTCTCTTTTCCCTAACTGCTTTCAGGATTCTGTCCTTATCTTTGATTTTGTTTTGGAGAGCTTGATTATTAAATGTCTTGGTGATTTTCTTTTAGGGTCTATCTTTCCAGGGGTTCGTTGAGTTTCTTGGATGCTTATCTTTTTGTTTTTCAGGATGTTAGGGAAATTTTCTTTCAGAAGTTCTTCAACTATCTCTTCTGTGGACTTGTGTGATTTTTCCTGTTCTGGAATGCTGATAATTGTTAAGTTATTCCTCTTCATGTTGTCCAATATGAATTTTAGACCTTCCTCAGAGGTTTTTAATCCTTTTTTTGTTTGTTCTTCAATCTTAGTGGTATTGAGAGATTTGTCTTCTAGCTCACTAGTTCTGACTTCCATCTCTTCAGTTCTACTTCTTTGCCCTTTCAGAGTATTGTCCATTTCTGATATTCTATTATTGATTGTTTAGACCTCTTTCTGTAGGTTTTGAATTGTTTCCAATGCTGTATCGATCTTATTTTCATTGTTCCTGTAGCACTTTCCTGACTTCTTCCTTATTTTTCTCAGCTCCATTATAAAGTGTTTTGATACATTTTATAATCATTTTTCTGAATTCCTTCTCAGGCATTTCCAAAGCCTGCCCATTTTCCAGTATGGAGTGTAGGTCTACCTCTAACTTATTTGTCTCAGTCACTTTATCTTGTTTCTGGACATGTACTGATATGGTCATCTGTTTCTGTTTCTTGGGCATATTCTTTAGTTAGCTATGGCCTTAATACTTAGCTGGGTGTGTATTTTGGTATTTTTTATGCTTTCTGATTGCCTCCAGGTAGATGTGATCAGGAAATGGGCTTCCTTTTTCAGTCTTCTTTCTTTATCTCTGCAGTTCTATCAGGCGTCCGTGGCTGCTCTGATCCTTTCCTGGTTTGGTCTTGCCTAAGATGGTGGCTCCGGGAGCAGCTGAGCACCTTGGAATAGAAAGCACAGGATTTCTTGCTTATGCTATGAATTCCACTGGCTGTAAGCGTTCCAACTTTCTAAATATTCCTTTATATGTGGTTCAGAGTTCTGGAACCATCCCCTGAACCTGCTTGGTTCAGTATTCTGTGTTGTTGCTGACAGAACTCCTTACTGCACTTCCACCCGATCCACCATCTTGTTTGTTCTCCCTTGATATGGTTTATTTTAGCCACATTTGAACCACTACTTAGAATTCTTGGAGAAAGGGTTGAAGAAATAGAATCACCACCTCCAGAAATGTGTAGGCCTGGATGGAGGCGATGTCAAGAAGTAATAACTTCACATTTGGATATTTTTGTTAAATAAAGGTTTCTTTGGTTTTATAGCAGTGCTTTTTGACTAAGCCTTGTAAATGATGCTTTTCTAGTTGCTGTTGAGTTGATTCAGACTCATAAGCGGTTTCTCGTGTGTCAGAGGAGAGCCGTGTTCCACAGGGTCCAGCAGCTGCTTATTCAGAAGCAGATCACCAGGCCTGTTTTCTGAGGCACTCTGGTTGGAGGTGCCAAGCACAGTAACTGTTCCCACTATCCAGGGACTCCTTGGTCATGAGGGGATGTTGCACAGAGAAGCTAGGAGTTCTATTTGGTAATGGGGTGGTGGGTGTAATGTTTATTTAGAAAACAGACAAACAAATTCAGTCAGTGCATTGTAGGGTGTGAATAGCATGGCAGGGGAACGTCCCGTGCACTGTAGTGTGTTGAGTGGTCTCCCTGACCTGGAGTGGGAGCATACTGTAGAATTTTTAGCAGGATCTAGGTGACTGTCCTATGCATTGTAAGGTGTTGAACAGCCTCTGACTTGGTGGGGCCATCCTGTGCCTTATTGTAGGGTGTTGAGCAGCACCCATGGCCTCTGCCCCCTGCCGCTCCTCCACCCCTATTGTTGTTGTTGTTAAGTACCATGAAGTCAGTTCCAACTCGCAGTGACCCTGCACAGTGACCCTGCACAGGGTTTCCGAGGCTGTACATCTATATGGAAGCAGAAAGCCTCATCTTTCTGCTGTGAAATGGCTGGTAGTTTCGAACTGCTGACCTTGCGGTTAGCAGCCCGATTCGTAACCACTACACTACCAGAGCCCCTTACCCCTATTTGTAACAACCAGAAACTCTCTCGTCTTCCATCAGAAATCCCCGGGGACATTGTCGCCCTCTGGTGGAAAACTAGGGAGTTACAGCACCGACTGGTGTCCAGAGCAAGACTTGGAACAACTTTGCTGGTTGGAAGGGTCCTAGGTGGGCTGTGTCTTTCAGAGCCAGCAGGACCAGATAGATGAAGGGCGTCCAGGGCTGGGAGCAGCATGGCATGTGGGGACCCCAAAGTGGATCGTTGTGGCTAGAGCCAGCCTCGGAGTCCTGTGTCTTCCTGTGTTTTGGTTTGATTCTGTGGCCTGGCGTTTGTTAACAAGATTGCTTTAGGTTGGGTGTGCTTGGTGATTCGAGTCCACCCAGAGGTACCTCAGAACAAAGACCTGGAGATCTCTTTGTGAAACAATCATTCCCTGAAAGCCCTGTGGAGCACACTTCAAGTGTGACCAACATGGGGTTGCTATGAGTTGGGGTCAACGCACCGGCAGCTGATTAGACTGGGGATGAGCTGATTTCTGGGGAGAAGAAGGGGGCCAGTGACCTGAGAGCGTCTCACTGAGACAGTGCAGAGTTGGTGGGAAGGCTTTCGCTGCGGCAGTATGTGAGTGAGAGAACTCTGCCGGGTGGGTGTGTGGGGCTCGGTCAGCCTCGGTTCCACGTGCCTGAGTTACGGTGTCTAAAATAAGGGTGGAGGCAGGATGGGGTGGCGTGGCTGGTGAGGGGTTGGGAGCTTGTCACCCACTCTGGCTCTGGGGTCACATCCGTCTGTCCCTGAGATGTTCCTCATCTGAAGTATAGACATTGGCCCTGCATCCCTGGTCCAGAGGGGAGTGGTCGTGGGCAGGGGGTGGGGTGGATCCATTGTGTGTATGAGCTGGTGGCAGCATGGTAGGCCTGGCCAGGGGCTCAAGAGAGAGGGTGGGAGACATGGCCGGGTGACTACATCTCGAGGGGCAAGCAGCGTGCGTGAGATGGGCCTGGAGGATGGGGGCAGAGAACCCTCCAGCCTCAGCTTGGGAGCCTTTTAAGAAGTGGGTGTTGTATCAGCTCTGTGGGTCCCCAGCGAGGTGGAGATTGCACGTGGGTCTGTGGGTTAGAACCGCAGGGCTGTGGAGCTGCTACCCCAGCGCATGCCCAGCTGCCCCTTTTGGAAGCGGACACACATCAGGCAGTTTGCACAAGGCAGGAAGCCTGGTGCAGAGCGAGTTTATTTAGCAAGGTGCCCTTGGGGACAGGTTGGAGGAGGGAATGGGCCGCCTGCTACTCCAGGCCAACCAGGTGCATTCTTGTCATTGTGTTCACTGGACATAATGGCCATCTCTGTCCCACTCTGCAGCAAACAGCAGGTGCCCTCAGGCCTCGGTCCTCACGTGATGCAGGAGACCCCCTCAGGCGGGAAACATGAGTCCTGTGAGCTGAGTCCCTGAGTCTCTGTGCGTTCGTTTGACTGTGTCTCGTCTTTCCCGCAGGGTGCCCTGGGCCAAGTGCCGCCAAACTTATTTCGCACGCGGGAAGAACAAGCAATCTCTGGATGCCGTGGAAAAGGCAGCATTCTTTGTGACGCTGGATGAAACCGAGCAAGGGTACAAGAAGGACGACCCCGTCACGTCCATGGACAGCTACGCCAAGTCCCTGCTGCACGGCAAATGTTTCGACAGGTGAGCCCTTGCCTTTTGATTGGTCTTTAGTTATGGTGAAGATACACACATGAAACCCACACCATGGCTGGGCAGTTCCCACATGCCTAATTCAGTGAGATCGAATTCAGGTTCACTGCCCTTCTCCAGATCGCCCCACCACCTCTAACATGGACTTCATGCCCCCCAAAACAACCTTCCCGTCCCCTCCCACCTCGGCTGGCCGTGCATCAGCTTTGGTTTCTATGTGTTTGCTTTTCTCATATGAAAGGAAGTCATACAGTGTATGTGTGTGTGTGTGTGTGTGTGTGGCTGACTAATTCCCCTCAGCCTGATGTCTCCATTTCTCTCTCTGTGGCTGTGGATGGTCCATCACCCATTCATCTGTGCCTGGACCTTTCGATTGATCACCCCCTTGTGGCTTTTGTGACAAGTGTTTCAATGAACATTGGTAAACAGGCTTCTGGGTTTTTTTTTTTTGTTGTTGTTTTTTCATTTTTAAAAACTTTTTATTGTGAAATAAGTGAAGGTTTACGGAGGAGATAGCAGTTTTTCTTTTTTAAGCTTTTATTGTGAATTGAGTGGTAGTCTCCATGGGGGAACGTCAGTTTTGTACTCATTCTATCCTGTTGGTAACTTTACATTGATTACAATCTCCTGCATGCTTCATCATCTAACAGTGTTTGCTTGTATTCCATTTGGGGTTGTTTTGGATGGTCACCAAAACACTCAGGAATATACAATCATTCCAACAGCCCAAGGGCACACCCTGCAACAGGCTTCTGTTTTGTGTCCTGCTTTCCTTCCTTCCAGTGTTGGGTGTCCTGGGTCACATGGTAGTTCTCGGTTCCGCATTTTGAGGAGCTGCTAAACTGTTTTCCACATTGTTTGCACCATTTATATCCCCACCAGTAGCGGAGAGACTTTATCCTTGGGTTGGAGACAGATTAATTTGCCTGTAAGCTTTTAAGAAATTTCACACATAGCAACCAAAATGTGATGTTTTTAATGCTAGTAAAAACTATAACCTTAAATTTTCTCTTCTCAACCCAAACAGTCGCTGACACTCATACTTAACGCTCACCCACACTCACACATACATTCATGCAAACATTCACATACATACTTGTATAGACACACATGTGATTCACACAGTCAAGCACATTTACATATACTCGTACTCAAACCTTCTCACACATAGACACTCATACTTACGTTTCACTGACTTCACAAATGCATTCGCCTGTGGCGGGGCTGATAAAATGTTATCACTGTCAGTAATGGGTTTGCTAGAACACTTCATTGTGGTCACGTGGAACCTGTCCATGGACCAAGAGGCAGTCGTTTGAACAGAACTAGGGAGTGGGTGCCAGGCTTATATTCTTTCACCATACTTATTCAATCTGTGTGCTGAACGAGTAATCCAAGAAGATGGATTATATGAAGAAGAACGTGGCATCAGGACTGGAGGAAGACTCATTACCAACCTGTGATATGCAGATGATACAACCTTGCTTGCTGAAAACCAAGAGGACTTAAAATAGTTAATGATGAAGATCAAAGAGCACAGTCTTTGGTATGGATTGTGCCTCAACATAAAGAAAACAAAAATCCTCACCATTGGACCAGCAAAGCAACATCGTGATGAATGGAGAAAGACTGAGTTTGTAAAAATTTCATTAACAACTTCAATCTTTAGATTCTGTAGAATTCACAATCAACACCCATGGAAACAATAGTCAAGACATCAAAGGATGTGTTGCACTAGGCAAATCTTCTGCACAAGACCTCTTTCAATTGTTAAAAAAACAAAGATGTCAGTTTGAGGACTAAGGTACCCCTGACCCAAGCCATGGTATTTTCAGTAGCCTTATATGCATGGGAAAGTTGGACAATGAATAAGGAAGGCCGTAGAAGAGTTGATGCTTTTGAGTTATGGTGTTGGTGAACAGCATTAAAAGTACTATGAACTGAAGTGAATAGAGAGAAACACTGTTAACTGATGATACATGGAGGGGATTGTAATCATTGTAAAGAAACAAAGTGTGTGATTTGTTGAATGTAAAACTGATGATCTGCCCTGGAAACTTTCACTCAATCCACAATAAAAACCTTAAAAAAGAAAAAAAATGTGATTAAAAACAAAACACAAGTACTATGAACTGACTGCCAGAGAGCAAACAAATCTGGGTTGAAAGTGCAGCCCGAATGCTCCTCAGAGCGAATATGGTCAGACTTCCTCTCATGTACTTTTGGACACGTGATCAGGAGGGGCCCGTCCTTGGAGAAGGACGTCATGCTTGGTAAAGTGGAGGGTCAACTAAAAAGAGGAAGACCCCTAATGAGATACAGTGGCAGCAGCAGTGGGCTTAAGCATAGCAACAATTGTGAGGTTGGCTCAGGACCTGGGGTCACTGTGAGTCAGAACTGACTTCATACCAAGCATCTAAGGACAGTAACAGCACAGTGGCTCTGTCGAATAAGCACTGGACAGTGAACCACAGGTCAGCAGTTCAAGTCCACCAGCCATTCCTTAGGAGAAAGATGAGGCTTTCTGTTCCTGCAAAGAATTACAGCCTCGGAAACCCTGTACAGGGTGCTGTAAGTTGGATCTAACTCGATGGTACTTAACAATTACAAAAGCAACAATAACACACGCAGGCACCATGCACACACTCACACACACACACCCAGCTTAAACAACAGATTTGAATCTCTTTTGTCCATCTTTTGACGATGTCCACCGTCATTGGGAGATGCTAAGGAGACCTAGTGGCTACTGGTTACCTGGAGCCAGGTAGGAGAAGGAGCCAGCTAGTCCTTGTCTGGAGTTAGACCACACGAGGCTGCTGTGAGTCTGGGGCCTCCTCCTCCTCATCTGTGGGCTGAGGGGCGGGGAGCTTGTACAGCCTCCTGGCTCACCTGCCCCCCAGGAGCCTCCTACATCCTTTCCAGGTGTAACAACCTGGCTGCTTATTTTTACATCCAGGACAGGAAGAAACCAATGGTTTAGAGTTCTTCTTGTACTTTTAGTATGGCTTTACAGATTGGTTTCAATCTCCCAGCTGTTACGTAGGAAAACCCAACCCATAGCTACCGAGTTGATTGTGACTGAGGGCGAGCCGTGTGTCAGAGTACAACTGCCCCATCTTTATGGACGCAGCTCACCAGGCCTTTCTTCTGCAGCACCAGGAGCCGAATTCTTAACCGTTAGGGAAGCGGGGGCTGAGTAGAGTCGATCATTCAGTGAACAACAGGTTTCTGTTCTGTTGTTCATTCTTGTCTTCTGGAAACCTTTGCTTTCTCTAAACCTTCTGCTTCCTGTAGGTGGTTTGACAAGTCCTTCACGTTTATTGTCTTCAAAAATGGCAAAATGGGAATGAACGCAGAGCACTCCTGGGCAGACGCCCCCATTGTGGGCCACCTGTGGGAGGTGAGTTTGCGCCGCTCTAACTTGGATGGGAAACTTCGTCTCTCATACTTTGGACATATTGTCAGGAGGGACCAGTCACTGGAGAAGGAAATCATGGTTGGTAAGGTGGAGGGTCAGAGAGAAAATGGAAGCCTCCCAATGAGATGGATTGGCCAAGTGGCAGCATCGATGGACTCATGCGTGGCAACAGTAGTGAGGTTGGCCCAGGATCAGGCAGTGTTTCATTCTGCTGTGCATAAGGTTGCTGTGAGTCGGTACCAACTTGATGGCACCTAACAACAACAACAACTTGGATGGGAAACGCCAGCCCGAGTTGAACCTTGTCGTATTTGGATGTGAGAGGTGGACATTTAGTGTGGCTGGGGGCTGCCTGTGATGATGGCCCTCGGTGGTCTCAGCCCTGCAGCCCCCCGGTCCTTTGTGTGGTGACAGCAGGAACGGGAGTAACAGAACGGCAGCCGACCGCAGCGCTGTGCCTTCAGAGCGGAGTGGCGGCTTATCTTACCCTGATAGAAACAATCCCCTATTTGTTGTGAGGCTCCGGGATTTTCCTTGCCACCAAAGTTTAAGGCAAATAGAAGCCGCCGAAACAACAACAACAACAACAAAAAGCCCACTGCCACCCACTCAGTGCCAACTCATCGCAACGCTGTGGAGCCGAGTGAAACTCCGGGTTTCCAAGGTGCTCATTCTGACAACCTCATCCTCCTCCCATTGTGCAGACGGTGGGCTTGAACCACCGACCTTGCGGTTAGCAGCCCAGTGCTTAGCCCACAGTGCTGCCAGTGCGCCATCAAATAGAATATTGAACCAGCGTTGAAATCTTGGTTTATAAAATTGCAGCAGACCACCTCCCACGTCGTTTTTCGCTCTCTCTCCCTTCCTACTAGGATCCGTAGTCGTATCTATACAAAGGAATATGTTTTGAGTGTGATGTTCTCCTGTAGGACTCAGCTTAGCTCTACCTCCTTGGGAAGCCGCCTTCTCCCTGGGCCTTCCCTGACCTTGGCTCTAAGTTCCTGTCACCCTCCCTGTATCGCTAACAACCATACAGAAATCTGTCCTCTCAGTTTAGGAGACAAGAAGTCCACATTCCGAGCAGCACCTCTAGGGAAAGACTCTTTTGTCTGTCGGCCCTGGGGGAAGGCTCTTGTCTCCCCTCAGCATCTGAACACCCAGCATTCCTTGAAGGTCTCCATGTGTCCTGGCGTCAATCTTCCCCCCTGAACCTAGGAGCTTCACAGTGCAGGGACCCCAGTGCACACTCCACTCCTGACTCTTCCTTCTTGGTGGTCGTAGGTTCTTCTTTCTCTGTTCACTTCTCCCTCCTTTTTGCTGTGTTCACCATAGGATAAACAGTGGACCACAAGGTCAGTGGTTCAAACCCACCAGCTGCTCCATGAAAACCTTAAGTAGGGATTCTCTGAGCTGCTGTAACTGACTCGGTACCACTCAACAGCAAGGAGATAAAAGATGGTGCCGGCCATGCCCCAGAGGAAGCTTCCTTTCAGTTGATTGGCTGCTCATAGCAGATGTCATCATGGGGGATAAATACATCTCAAGTGCTAGCCCAGTGAGAGTCTTGGCTGAGCCAAGTTGTAGAAAACCGTAACTGTCACAGGTGATAAAAGCAGCCCTGGACCACAGGCCCTTAACCAGGGTCGGAGGTCTTCTGTGATGATATCAAAGCTGAGAGCCTTTGAGCTGAAACCCCTTGGAGATCAAAACACCTTCACAATACTTCTGGGCACAGTGCAGGGCACCTGGGCAATCTGCCCGTTGCAGGGACTTGCGAGTGGCACGCGCTGGGCTTTGGAAGAGACACAAAAATCTCTGACTTACCCACAGCCCGGAATGACCCAGGGTCCCCTGAGCAGGGAGAGTCTTCTCGTGGGGACTACAAGTCAGGGTTTTCTTTAGGTCCAGACACAGCCCAGAGACACCACGGGTTCAGTTCCTGACAGGGGTCAGACAGGAAAAACAGTAGAGTCGCATGAATTGCTTGGTTTCCCAGTGCACCTGACTTGGTCTCCCATCTCATGAGTTGCTTGGTTTCTAGACGACAGCCTACAAACTATGCAACAGCATGATGAAAACATTTGGAATGCTGGAAGAACAACCAGCATGGGACATACAGACAAGCCATGAGCATCGGCTGTCTGGAAAACGCTGTTGGTTGATGTGCTTGACACAGGGTTGCCACCAAGGTTCTGGGATTTAAAAAAACACAGTTTCTACAACACACAATAAAATGAAGATAAGATCGGGTAAGGGATGTCATCTTTGGTGAGGTGCCCAGTTTAGAAGTGGTGTTTCGCTGTCTGTGAGTCCAGGATCCTGAGGATGGGAGCTGCGTGCCCCGGATGCTGATGGAACCAGGCCTGGTGCTAAATTACCACACAGACTGGCACAACAGTGCAGTATTCGGTAGCGCCAGGTCTTGTCAAAACTGGATCCTGCTGGCTCTAGCTGTGTCTCTGGTGGTGATAGGGTGCTGGACTCTCCAGGGCTCTGGTCCACACAAACCCTACCACACATCTAGACGGTATCCACCACACCCCCAAGCTTGCTCCTTCCTGCACCTCCTCACTCCCTGGAGAGGTCACATTTCTTTCCTTCTCCACAGGAGATTCAGCTTAATGAGTACAAACATCTTTTCTCTTTTTCAAATCCTTTTTTCTTTTGAAAGTGTACAGTTCACTGGTTTTTACTACGCTCACCTAGTTGTCTAACCTCTCCATTGTTGGGTGCTATCGAGTCAGTTCTGACTCATAGCCACCCCGTGCACAACAGAACAAAACACTGCCCGGGCCTGCACCAGACTCACAATTGTTGTGTCCGAACCCATTGCCGCAGCCACTGTGCCAATCGGCTCAGTGAGGAGCTTCCTCTTTTCAATTGACTGTCTCCTTTACCAAGCCCAACATCCTCCAGGGACTGGTCCTTCCTGATAACACGTCCGAAGACGGGATCATTCTGACAGTGATGGATACCAGTGGTACATTATGCAAAGTCACGACTAATTCCAGAACTTTCATCTCTCTATTAGGAAACCCTGTACCCATCAGCATCACTTGCAGCCCCCAGTCCCTGGTAACCTCTCTTCTACTTCCCGTGTCTGTGAATTTGAGTGGAATCACACAGCATTCATCCACTCGGGTCTGGATTACTCCACTTAGCGTAACATCTTCATGGTCCATGCTGGTCATTCCTCTTTTGGCCGATCCAGATCCATATCCCCTTGTGTTTGTCCATTTGTCCGTGGACAGACATTTGGACTCTGTCCATGTCTGACCAGCATGAACAGTGCTGCTCTGAAGGTTGGCGTGCATGTTTAAGTGTGAACACGTTTTCAGTTCTCTCCTGGGTGCACTTGTAGGAACGGAATTGCTAAATCACGTGAGGATGATTCTATTTCCTGTTTTGAGGGAGGACAGGGACTTGTGTCTGTTTGTTCCCAGTTCCCGCTGATGTCTGAAGGGCTACTGAGCACTTCAGGACTCTACCAGTGCGTGTGGCAGGACCTGGCTTTGTTACTCGATGGCAAAGAGAGAACTCCACCTGCCTGAGAGGCCTGGCGGGTGTGAACATGGACAAGCCCACTCCCCTCTCTGACACCTGAGTCTCTCATTTATGAAAACGGGAGTAGCTGCTGCCTCTCCCACCTCGCCACTTGAGGGTCTGGCCCGGATTAGGGAACCTGGTGGGCTCAGTAGGACATCATAGTGTGTACTCACACCAGACATGCTTGGTGCAAATCTGGCTCTGCTCCTGACCCGTCGTGTGGTCTTGTGTGGGTTGTTGGACCCCTGCAAGTCTCATTTTTTCCTACTTTTAAAATGAAGACAAGGCCTCTGGTAGCGTAGTGGTTAACGAATTGGGCTGCTAACCTTAAGGTCAGCAGTTCAAAACTACCAACCGCTCTATGGGAGAAAGATAAGGCTTTCTGCTCCCATAAAGATTGACAGTTTCTGAAACCCTGTGCAGGGTCGTTATGAGTCAGAACCGACTCCACGGTACTTAACAACAACAACAACAAAATGAAGAGACGATCCTTAGGTGACTGTGAACAGCGACAACCAAAACAACACAGTCGCTGTTGAGTTGAGTCTGACTGTGTGTTAAGAGTAGAGCTGTGCTCCAGAGTGTTTTCAAAGACTGATTTTCCAGAAATGGATTGCCAGGCCATTCTTCCAAGGCACATCTGGGCGAACTCGAACTTCCAGCCTTGCTGTGAACAGCCAAGTACTCTCACCGTTTGCTCCACCTGGGGTTTCGAAGTGACTGTGAGGATGATATAAAGCAATCAATAAGTTGCTACTTTTAAATCCTTCTCATGTAAAGAAGAGGGAATTGTGGGATGCCTCTTAACTCTAGTCATCTTGTGTTTGGCAGTATGTCATGGCCACCGACAGCTTCCAGCTGGGCTACACAGAGGATGGACACTGTAAGGGGGATACCAACCTGAACATCCCTCACCCCGCCCGGCTGCAATGGGAGATTCCAGAGGAAGTAAGTCAGAGCTCGCTTGAGCAGTTCCGGGTCCCTTGGGTGGAGATGACCTCAGCCCTCAGCCCCTAGCCCCACACTGTGTGTCCGGGGGCACAGCTGAAGCCCCTGAAGACTGGGGGATCTTTACCAGGGTTACAGTTCTCCTAAGGAGCCCTGGTGACCCAATAGTTGGAACATTGGAGTACTAGTAACCAAAAGGTCGGTGGTATGAACCCACCAGCTGCTCTGCGGGAGAAGGACGAGGCCTTGTGTTTCTGTAAGGATGGACAGCCTCAGCTCTGGGGCTCCCCTGCTCTGTCCTGTAGGGTCGCTGTGAGTGACCGGGGTTTGGGATAGTGTTGCTGCAGCTCTGGGTAGCATCTGTTGGGAGCCTTGGTAGACGTCCCTTCATCCATCTAAAGCTGGTGGCTGAGACTGTCAGTGAGCGTTCAGCTCAGACTCAGACCAAAGAGTGTTGCCGTTGCGTCGGTTCCGACTCACGCATCCCCACATGTGTCAGAGAACTGCGCCCCATTGGGTTGTTCAGGGTTCCTTCCTTGGAGATGGTTCTTCATATGCCTCTGGGCGGGTTTAAACACCTACCTGTCAGTTAATAAGCACTTAACTGTTTGTACCACCCAGGGACTTTTCAAATGGAGCTGTTTTGTTGTTGGTAAATGCCATCAAGTCCGTTCTGACTCATAGTGACCCCTGTATAGGGTTTCTGAGAAGCAGCTAGTGGGTTTGAACTGCTGACCTTGTGGTTCACAGTCCAGTGCTTATCCTACAGCGCCACACCAGGAGTGCCAAATGGAGCTAGACACTTCTAAAATGCTCAAAAGGCAAAATTGTAAACAACAAAGCCAAATATCACACAGTATGGCGCTAAACTAGTTTAAATCATTACATTGCCACGTTTACAAGTTAAAAATAGGTTTTGTTCGGTTGCTGTTCTTAGGTATAATTCACTGGGTCAGAGCCTTTTTGGGAAGAGGTTTTGGGGTGGGAAATGCCAAATTCTAGTTCATCTAATCTAAGCAGGAGTTTCCAGGGCCCAAGGAATGTTTTCCCAGGTTGTAAGATGCTGCTTCTCAGGGGTTTGCCTCCTGCGCCTGAGTCTAGTGGTTTTGGGGACCCCAGAACATGTTCTGTCCGTTGTTGTTGTTGTTGTCATGTGCTGTGGAGTCTGTTCCGACCCATAGTGACCCTGTACAGGGTTTCCGAGGCTGTAAATCTTTACGGGAGCAGAAAGCCTCATCTTTCTCCCACAGAACAGCTGGTAGGTTTGAACTGCTGACCTTGCGGTTCACAGTCCGATTCGCAACCACTACGCTACCAGAGCTCCTGGTTCTGTCAGTTACCATTTGTTTATTTAAATTGGTCCCTCAGTTGCCACCTACAGCAACAGAGCCCTTCACCAAACAAAACCTACTTCTCCCCTAACTGCCCTTTAGCGTCTCTATGGGTTTCCTCAGACACAGACATTGTAAGAGGTCAGCTGGAAAGAGAGGACGTTTCTACTCCCACAGTGTGCAAGAGGCTGGACGTCCAAGTTCAGGGCCAAGGCTCGTTCTGTCAGCTCCGGGGGAAGGTCCTGGTTGCTTTTTAGCCTCTGTTCCTCAGATCCTTGTCGCTCTGCAAGCGTGTCACTCACTGCCCATTTGTGCCCTCTCGCTCTTTTTAACTGGTTAGATGAATTGTATTGACAGAGAAGATCCACATAGTCATCTGACCTCATTTCCATAGCTGGACAGTTAGTTCTTACTCCTTTTTCAGACACATAGATACCATCCAAATTTTTCAGATAGCCTTATTTCTAACTGAATTGTAGTTGTTAAGTGCCTTCGAGTCGGTTCCGATTCACGGCAACCCTGTTTAGGATTTCTGAGGAGCTGCTGGTGAATTTGAACCTTGTGGTTCAAACCAACATTGCATTCCAGTCCCTATCCTACAGCGCCCCACCAGGACTTGATAACTGAATTCAAGTGGCTGCATTTGATGGAAGGTCGATTTCATTTCCCTCAAGAATTCATTTATGTTTTCTGGGTGTGAGATAGAGCAAGCAACACCTGACCTCATATGAACCCTCTGGGTGTATAGATAAACTTTGTATTTCAATTGAGTAAAGGTTTACGGAGCAAAACATCAGTTTCACATTCAACAAATGATACAATTTACTTCATTACCTGATTGCAATCCCCTCCTCCCCTCCATGTACCATCAGTTAAAACACCTCTGTTCACTTTAACTGCTGTATTCCTCCCTGTTGTCTCCTGCTGCCTTCGTCTTTCCTTTGCTAACCTCCCTCTTGTTGTACATTGTCTGCCTTGTCACCCATATTAACATGTGTCTACCCTCTAGCCCATGAATAATTTTCCCTTCCTCCCCCACCCCCCGCCCCATATCCATTATAGATTGTTGCTTTTATCAAGAAAACCTTTTTTTTAAAAAACAAAACAAAACAAAAAACAACTCTTTCCAACATTGGTCTCATACAATGTTTGTCCCTTTGTAATTGACTAATTTCACTCAGCATAATGTCCTCCAGGAGTCCTGGTGTGGCGCTGTGGGTTAATGCACTGGACTGCAAAGCTGTTTGAACTGCACGGTTGGCAGTGCAAACTCACCAGCTGTTCCTCGGAAACCCTATACAGGGTCGCTATGGGTCAGAACCGACTCGATGGCACTTCACAACAGCAACAACAATGTCCTCCAGGTTCAACCATGTTGTGAGGTGTTTCACAGATTCATCATTATTCTTCAACGTTTTGTAATATTCCGTTGTGTGTATGCACCAAAGTTGTTTAGCTGTTCTTCTGTTGATG